CGAAATCATGTTCATCGCATCCAATGATGTGTATAGAAAGATGACCAGATCCACCCGTGATATTCAAAGAAATACTGATATTTTCTAGCTGCATTACAGAAAAAATCAATAGACAATTATTTTTATCTCGCTTTCAATTGAATAATCTATTCGTAGGTATGGCATCGAATACAAAAGACTCGTGTGTGTGTTGGGGATTGTCCTAGTTATGAAAAGGTCTTTCGACTATGACCACGAACTGGCTCCTGATTATGTATCTGTTTGTTTGGACCATTCTTCGCAACAGAGTGTTGCATATCCTTCACACTTGGCTGATTAGACATAAACACGCTATGCATTCTAGTCCATAACCTCTTTTCCTTGGATTTACACCATATCACTCAATATCCATCATTCAGTTTTGCTTTGATTCCGGATGCCACACAGGTTGCTATAGCTGCACTCGTGACTGTTTTTGGAGGTTGTGTTGAGTTATGAATATGAGAACATCATTCAGTTAAGTTGATTTATAATTTTATTTTATTAAGAAAACGAAAGTATGGAAAGTCATTTGAGAAAATTTGATGAGATTGTGAGACATTTGAAATCGGCAGGTGAAAAATTGGAAGAAGTTCAGGTTGTTACACATTTATTTATTACGTTACCATCATCGTATGATAGTTTAACTACAGCATTAGATACATTATCTGAAGATAAACTAACATTGGATTTAGTAAAAAGAAGAATATTCGACGAATAGAACAAGATAAACAATAGACATAGTAGTGATGAACTACAAAGTGCATCCTTCTTTAATAAAAGTGGAGAAAAGAAAAACCTAGAATCCAGACCATTTAAATTCAATTGCTACCGATGCGGAGTCAGAGGCCATATAATGTCAGAATGCAAATACAAGGGTCACTTAAAAAATCAGAAAAGAAATTATAGAAGTGTTAACTCTACTGAAGCGGAGCAAATGAGCGAAGAAAATGAAGAGTCTGCAAAGAGAACCGTGGCTAGTATTGCTTTTCTGACATCAGAACAGACAACTGAAAATTACGAGAAGACATTCTTATCATTTTTCATTGACTCAGGAGCAACAGATCATCTCATTTACGATGACAGATTCTTTTCCGTTGCGAAGGTACTAGAGAAATCAATTTCGATTGCAGTCGCGAAATCAGGACAATTATTATCAGCAACAAAAATTGGTCAAATCGAAGTGAAACAAGGAAATTTAGACATAACAATAATGTGCTTTTTGTTCCTGATTTGAGAGTGAATTTATAATCTGTGAGGCGACTGGAAATGATGGGATTCAAAATTGTTTTTGAACGTGGAGAAGCAACATTATACACTAAAGCTGGTTTAATTGTCAAAGGTAGTGGAAGTGATCATCTTTATGAAATAACTTTCCGTTTGAAACAAAGTTATATAGCTCATATGACGTATAACTATGAAGAAAAGTTGTGGCATCGCCGAATGGGTCACGTAAGTCAGTCCAATCTGAATAATCTTGTAAGATTCAAAATGATGGAAGGAATTGCAAATTTCAAAAGCAAGAGGGCGGAACTCTGTGAAGAATGTATGAGAGGAAAACAAACAAGACTGCCATTTAAGGACATCAATCAACCAAGAAGTAGAAGGCCATTGGAGATCATTCATAGTGATATTTGTGGACCAATCACTCCTTCAACCTGGGATGGATATAACTATTTCATTACGTTTATTGATGATTATACTCATTTCACAATTGTTTATTTGCTGAAAAGTAAAAATGAAGTTTTGAAGTATTTTAAAATGTATGAAGCACTAGTAACAAGCAAATTTTCATTGAAAATTGCAAGTCTCAGAGTAGATAACGGTGGTGAATATAGATCAACCGCTCTCAAAGTATTTTGTGAAGAAAAGGGAGTGAAATTGATCTACACTATGAGATATACACCTCAACAAAATGGTGTTGCTGAAAGAATGAATAGAACACTTCTTGAAAAGGCAAGAACAATGATATTTGATGCCAAAATGAAGAAAAAAATGTGGGGAGAAGCAGTGATGCCTAATAAAAAAAAACTCCAGCAGAAGTGTGGACAGGATTCAAACGAGATTTGTCTAAAGTAAGGGTATTTGGTTCCAAGGCCTTTGTTCAAATACCTAAAGAAAAAAAAACAAAATTAGATGAAAGAAGTGACATATGTAGAATGATTGGTTATGCCGAAAATGTTTATCGCCTGTGGAATGAACATGAAAGGAAGATTATTCTATCAAGAGATGTGATTTTTGACGAGAGGCGTCCTCAAATCGAAAACCAAAATGTTAAATATCAAATAATAATGCATATTGATGTAATGAATGAAGCAAAAGGAATTTCAAATTGTACAAAACCTAAAAAAACCATAGAAAGAGTTAATGAAATTCCAGTAGAATCAGAAATAATAAATTCAGAAAAGGAAACGAGAAATCTTGAAAGTAGATTGTCAAATATTCAAAATGAAACATCAATCATTGAAATGCCATCAATAAAAACTACGTCTGAAGTGAATCAGAAAAGAATTACAAGAAGGCCAGTCTGGTTAGATGACTTTGAAATCTACATTGCAGTAAATACAGATTCAATAACAGAAAAGGTACCAAAAAACTATAAAGATATTGATAATTGACCATAAGATGATGCAAACAAATGGAGAAATGCAGTGAGAGAAGAATTAGACTCCTTAATGGAAAATAATACCTGGATTTTAGTGGACTGTCCTGATGAAGTGAAACCTATAACAAGCAAATGGGTGTTCAAGCAGAAGAAAAATGTAAATGGACACGTAGAGAGGTACAAAGCTAGACTGGTAGCAAGAGGTTTTCAGCAAAAAGAAAACATTGAATACAAAGAAACGTATGCTCCTGTTGCAAGATTGACAACAATTGGGTTATTTATGTCAGTAGCAGTCCAATACAGATACCCATTGTTCCAGATGGATGTTAATTAAAACTGCCTTTTTGAATGGATTTCTAGAAGAAAATGTATATATGGAGGTTCCAGATGGAATGGATTGCGAGAATGGAAAAGTATGTAAGCTGAATAGGTCATTATATGGTTTGAAATAATCACCAAGATGATGGAATGAACGTTTCAATCAATACTTACTAAAAATCGGTTTTGACAGATCTGTCAGTGATTACTGATGACTTACTTCTTACTGGAAATAGCCAACAAGGAATAGAGAGAGTAAAAAAAGAACTAAAGAAAGGAGTTCATATGACTGACCTTGGTAAAGTAGAATTATATATGGGAATGAATATTCAACAAAATTTGAAGAAAAATGAGCTGGTCATCAGTCAGAAACAAAATATTGAAAGTCTTTCGAGGAAATATGAAATGGAAAACTGTGAATCAGTAAATACTCCAATAGAAAAAGATTTGAAATTAGAGAAAATTTCCGATATTAGTCTGAAAATTGACAAACCGTACAGGGAACTCATTGGTAGTCTTATGTTCATTATGCTAACTGCACGTCCAGATATTTGCTTTGTAGTAAATTATTTGAGTCGTTTTCAAGATTGTGCAGGAGAGGAACACTGGAAATACCTCAAGAGAGTTTTAAGATATCTACGCGGAACTTCCGAACTGAATTGTTACAGGCGACGAGAAAAGGCTCCAGTAATTATTGGTTTTGCTTATTCTGATTGGGCAAATGACATCGATAGGAAATCAACTTCTGGTTATTTGTTTGAATCATTTGGAAATCTGATTTCTTGGACAACAAAGAAACAACTGTGTGTTTCACTTTCAACTACTGAAGCTGAGTACGTTGCTGCTTGTGAAGGAATTTGGTTAAAAAATCTGATAACTGACATGGGAATAGGCTTTTGTAGTCCCATACAAATATTTGAGGATAATCAGGGATGTATTAAGCTTTCCAAGAATCCCGATACAAAACGGTCCAAACATATTGATATCAAATATCATTTCATCAGAGAAAAATTAATAAGCAAAGAAATATAGCTGAGATATGTGGAATCGAACAGGCAAGAAGCAGATATACTGACGAAAGGACTGACAAGAGATATGTTTTTAGAGCTTCGAAGTCTATTAGGATTGAATGATGGACTTCTTATTCAGGTGGGGTGTTGAGTTATGAATATAAGAATATCATTCAGTTTAGTTGATTTATAATTTTATTTTATCTAGTTGTATATAGTCGCTGTTGTATGAAAAAAAAAGAAAAAAAATGTTTGTGTCATTAAAAGTCAAAAGAAACATTTCATTTTCTTCAACTGAGGAAAGTTATTAATTTCAAAAGGTTGTACTTGTGATCAGAAGATCTCCCGACGATGCCACGAATCAGCAGTTGGCTCTTGATGATGAATCCGCTTGTTTTGACACTTGTTCGTAACCAAGTTTGGCCTATACTTTGCTGAGCCATACTGACGAAGGCTAATTATACAGAAACACGTGTATGCGGTTCGCCAACTTTTCTATGAGTGCTAGTTCGATTCTTCTTTCCCATTAATTAACACCATATCACTCAATATGCATCATACAGTTTTGTTGTCTCTCGCGAATGCTACACAGGTTGCTAGAGCTGCTCTAGCCGGAGACAAATTGCCTATAGTTTTATTACCTTCCCGTTGAGAGGTGATTAATTAGACAGGTTTCTTTATTATTATTGTAAATTAAATAATTCACTGAATATATTCAAATTTGATAGAAGTAATCTAAACCTAAGTAAACATTGATTCGAAATTATTTAAATCAAACAAATGCCAAAAGTGTTTGTATGCTCCATGTTTTACGGCATATCAAGTTTTCGACGAAAATAGTGTCAACATATTTTTCTCAAACCACGTTATGTGATAAATATAATATCAATTTCGAGACAGAAACGTATCCTAAGTCCGATACTGAAATGATCCATTCCATAACTACTTAGATATTGGATTAGTGAGTTTATTGAGATATATGTATTCAATAATATCAATTATTCAATTCGAAATGTTCAAAATAAAGTACTAAATTTATGATAACTTACATTTCTTTTGCTTTATCTTAACTGAACATTTTAACCAAGTGCTGAACAACGAATACACAACATCAATAACACTGTGCGAATGATGTGTATTATGGATGTTTGACAAGTGATAAACAGTGTTGCCACTTCAGAATTTTTTAAATTCTGAAGTGGCACACAAAGTGGCTTATAACGATTCATAGTATTTTTCTTTGTCAATTTAGGTAGCAGATTGAATCAGATTACCATTTTGAAAATAGAACATTTCGTATATAAACAAATATGTTATGATCCCCATAATTTTTCGAATAATAATTGATATTTCGAATGATCGTGAAGAAACCTTAATAACGATACAAGCTACAGTGGAGTCAGAAATAGAGAACTAGTTAGCCGTATAACTAGATTCATTTTTTCATTTTTTTTTACAAAACGTTTCTTATCTTTAGTCTGTGAGGAAAATAGGTATTTGACAGCATTCAAATCATATAACTGAGACTGAATAATGGATTTCTTACAATGAATTGCCAGATATTGTCCAAAAAGTTTTGAAACCGCATTTGTCCGAAAAATTGATGGTTCTCTTGAGCCCAATATCTAATGACTTTACACTAAGTATACCAGATTTAGCCTTGATGAGTGAAAAATGTATCCGGTAGCAGGGCGGTTCGACGTGAGTGCTTTGTTCACTCAGTCAATCGGCCGACGTGTGAGTCGATGGTTTAAGCCGCAGGCAGAACGCTCAATATTCAGTCGCTATCGTCCAACCCGTGTTAGGAATCACACGTTACAAGGTAAGGCCTCGTTTGTCCTTAGCTCGCACAAGTTACGACTTCTGAGGATTGTCATTCATAGGGGTGCGATAGCTGTTCAACGGAAAAACAAATTTTAAATATGTCTTCAAACATATTTTATATATTGAGTATTGACCTTTCTATTGTCACCTATTGTCTATTGTCTATTGTAACCAGTAAGTGATTCTATGAGGCGATTTCGGATCAACATCAACTATAATCAGAAAATACGTTCGTATATTCAATATGTAGTCGATGCTAAGAGTCCTTAGGATAGTGCTAGGTCATAAAATTATGTTATAGTGTCGTATCTGTTGAACCAATGCACTTATAACTGAGAATATTTCTCAATTGTTGAAGAAGAAACGAATGATGGAGTCCAAACAAAATGGTACTTATATAGTTAAATATCATACAGTTCAATGAGACAGTATTGGAAAAGTCACTAGTTCTAACCATGGTTTGATTTTGGCCTAGTGCGTATGATTTAAGTACATGATAAGATTCCTGATGTAGATTTATTTCATCCAGAATTGTTCAGTTTGTTGAAATCCAAAGAATCGACATTTCTTTTTTCGACAGTCTATTAGTCGTCTATTCGCGCCGAGAAAAGTGTTGCATTTGTGTTGTTGGGGAACGAACAACAAGAAGAGAAATAATGATTGCCGTTACAAAATTCTACACATTGTGTGCCCATTTAGTTTAGATCTAACAAAATCTAAGGAGGATTATAACTATTCAGTATTTTAGAGCTATAAGAAAATAAAAAGCGAATTATTTCCAACAGGAGTACCCAGTTACAGGAAATTCTATTATAACAGAGTATATATGAAATACATATTGAAAATAATCGAATGTAGAAATGTATTAAAGTAAATGCTAAAACAAAGTATATATAAAATATTCATATATGTAGAATTTCAAAAGAGAAATGAAAAATTGAGTATATAATACAAAAAATTACAAATCATGCAATGTATCAGTACTGACAAAAAGATAATTTATAGTATTATTAAAAGTGAGTGTGGATACATGATACCACGGCGTTCGAGTCGAAATGAATATCGCAATGGTCACAGATTTTATAGAAGCTGCTACACATGAAATTCAATGGTGCTCGTAGCATAACATTGGTGTTTCGCAATAGAACTTCATAGTGTGTCAACTTTCACTTCTTGGTACTGAGAAATTTATCTCGGGTAAAAGAACCGTACTGTCGATATTGTTGTTAAGTAATTTATGAAGGAATTTTATACCAAGGATAACTCTCCTATTTTCCAAAGATGTCATATCAAATCGTGTCAACAAAATATTATGATCGATGCCTCTCGTGGGGTATTGTCGATCAACTTTTACACATAAGTATTTTAGGAACTTTCTCTACACGCTTTCAATTGATGTTTCTTGGAAGTCGTAAACTGGATTCCATATCAAAGGTGGCAATACTTTTGAAGTTTTTGTCATTTCTGCAAATGAATCCAAGCATCGTATTTGCATCAGCAGTTATATCCCTTATATGTTTTGTAAATGTTAATTTACTGTCATATGTAATATCAAGATATTTTATCTCGTGTACGCGGTTGATTGTATTATTGTTAATTGAATAATCGTACATTAAAGATCGCTTTCTTGTTGTGAAGGAAGGAAAATAAAAAAATTGTGACAAATAAGATTTCCGTTGATTATATCCAGATGGGACAACTTTGTTTTCACCTTTAGGATGTTAGTCAGTCATCTGAAGACTGAGGACATACATACTTCTCCTTGAATGTCATCTGGGTTACTGAAAATAAATATGATATTTTGTGATTTATTAAGATTAGTTATATACAATTATTGATCTTTCAAACTTGTGGTTGATTCTTTTGAAATATTTTTGATTTTAATTTATTTGTGATTCAATTGACAGCTGTTCATTGAACCGCATTATCCGAAAAGAACTGCATTATCCCACACAGCACTAGATATTCTTGGAATATTCCCTGTATATCATAAAACGAACGTATATATTCCAAATATTCATAGAATATTCTTGGAATATATACATACCTTTAGAATATTCATAGAATATGCTTGAATGAATATGGCAGGATTATTCCCGAAAGAATGTGCATAGAATGTCTATAAATGGATTATTCTCCCTTGAATATTCTAAGAATATTGTCGATCGAATATACCATATGGTATATTCTTAGAATATATCCCCACGGTATATTTTGGAATATTCTATACAANCTAAGAATATTATAAGATATTCCAAGAATATTCCCAAGGAATATTCTTAAAATATATCAAAGGTTCGCCAGGAGCACTTCCAGGGAATATTCTCCAGAAGATATATATATCCATGGCATATTCATAGCATAATACAATATCCTTAAATGTATATTCATGAAATATACCTGGAATATCTATTGCTATGTGGGATAATAACTATTATAATAAGTTCAATTTTTCACAGCGATTTCATATCATGTTTTCTTGTTTATTGAGGTCACTACCAAGTTTAATAAGATCCAAAGAATACGAATCCATGCCCTAATTTTGACGATGATGAAATTGATGTTGAATTTTTTATAACAAATTATAAAATTTTCTCAACATCTCGTCACACGTCACTCCAAACAAATATAAAAAAGTGTCACTGCTTCCGAAAAATAAGTTATCCTAAGTTGAAGACATTTTTCACAAGTCGGCAACAGTGTTACGTTAAAGGTACCACCTGATACATAGAAATAAACAATGAATTACCAGGACCGCATTCAAACATTTATGTACCAAGAAATATTCTGTTGGTACAATTGAAAAATATACTTTAAGAGTGTATTTTCAGTTGCTGACGAACTAATTTGATTTTGAATGAAATTTAGTAGAACTGATATATTCATATGTTGATGGAGTCCAGGGTAACACCTTTTAATGTATTAGGTATTCCAACTGATTTTAATAATGTTTTCCATTTAATTTCATCAAAATGAAATATTTCTTTGGAATATTTTCATCTGAGTTCATTTTATGTGAAGTTTCGAGTGCGTTTCGAAGCACTACCACTTTCTCTTGTACAATTAAGCTGGATCATTAGGGCAGCCATGAGGGGGAGCTATCGGACTGCAGCTCAACTCCTCTGGGCACATGAAAATAAATGAATGTTTCAAATAATTAATATAATTCATTGATTAGATTTCACTTTCACTATTTCGGAAATGGTAACAGCAGCTATATCCCTATCACATGCAAGGTGTGCAAGCTCTATTGCCAAGAAATCCAGGTTTCCTAAGTCGAATATTGTTTACAGATGAAGCTTATTTTTCTCGCAATTCAATTATTGACTTCAACAACAATTACATTTGGGCGGAAAACAATCTACACGCCTTGATAGAAAATAATTTTCAAGAACAGTTTTCTTTTAATATTTGGGTTGGAATTGTCGGTGACCATCTTATTGAGCTTCACTTCCTTCCACCTAGACTTAATGGAGAAGAATGCCGAAAGTTTTTAGAATTTGTTCTACCTGGACTTTCAAACGAAATTCCAGCCATGGAAAGATTCCGTATGTGGTACATGCACGATGGTGCTCCATCACACTTTAGTGTAGTGGCACGGCAATTTTTGGATGAAAATTACCATAATCGCTGGATTGGTAGAGCAGGCCACACCCATGGCCACCTCGCTCGCCCGAAATGAATCCCTGATATTATTTCCTCTGGGGACGCCTTATTGGTATACAAAACTGCTATTCAAAGTGAAGAGGATTTACGGAATAAAATCATTAATTCATGTGACATAATAAAAAATACGCCAGGTATTTTCAGAAGAGTACGAAATTCAATGATGCGGCGGCTAGACGGTTGTATTGAAGCCAAAGAAGGCCATTTCCGATACTTAATTTAGTGCAATTCGTTAGTCTAGATGTTAATGTTATTTAATATTTGTTGTTATTGTTACATCATTAGTAATGAAAAATTGTAAAAATAATAATTTCCAAAAGAAACATTTAATTCCCCATATTATTCCTTGTGAGGTCCAGGGATATGCAATTAGGTCGACTTTTTTTCTTAAAAACTAAGCAAGATACGAAAAAAACTCAAGAGACAAAAAAGTTGTATTTCTAGCTGCTAAATCCAAAAAAATAATGAAAATAACACAAAAGTCAGTGGTGGACATATTTAAGTCACAAATATTCGTTCAAATCCCGCTCGAGACGCCACTGGACTCAATAAATTGAATCACGTTCGGGCTAAATTAGCTCCTTAACGTTATAAATACCATTGCCAAATCACACTAGAATTAGGTGAAGGATATTTAAGATATTTACG